TCAGATTTGATTTCTGGTCAAGGGCACATACCTGGGTTGCAGGTTTGATCCCCAGCCCTGGTTGAGGTGCGAGTGGGAGGCAACCAATATATGTGTCTCTCTCACCTCGATGTTTCTCTCTCTCTTCCACTCCCTCTCTCCCTTCCACTCTCTAAAAAAAAAAAAAAAATGGAAAAAATATCTTGAGTGAAGATTAACAGAAAAAAGAAGCATGAACAAGCTTGATGATCATTATCTGTGATAATCCAGAAAATAATTAATAACAAAGGAAAATAAAATGAAGACTAGAAACTTTGGGAGATGAAAATTTTTGTCTCCTCTGTCTTCCACATTTTAAATGTGCTTTTTGTAACACTAAAAGAAATTAAATTTACTTTCAAATTCCATCAAAGGATTTCTGGAAAACTTGTTTGACTTTGTGAGTAGCAAGTCCAGCTGGGGTCATACCACAATCTCCAACTAAGCACTGTATGTGTTTTCTGTGGCTGACAGATGTTCCAAACCCGTTCCCTCAGAGGTCATCTTATTTCTTATCTTATCTCTACTGCTTTGGGCCTTTATTTCAGGCTGCCTAAATCCATTGTCTAGTTTACTAAGAGCCTTTTGGTTGTAAAACGTGCCAATTGTAAATAGGATGAGAGTGTATACATAGAACTTTTTTGAAAAGACAGTTGATAAAGGGAAATGTTATAGGTTGAATTGTGTACCTCAAAAGATATGTTGAAGTCCTAACTCCTTACCGCCTCCCCCTCCTGCACGCCCCACACCTGCCAACTGGCAAATGTGATCTTATTTGGAAATAGGGTCTTTGCAGATGTAATCAAGTTACAATGAGGTCATACTAGATTGGCCTGGGCCCTAATAACCGATGGCCTTATAAGAACAGGGATTTGGGCACAGACACCCAGAGGAGAAGGCCATTTAAAAACCTAAGCAGACATCGGAGTGATACATCTATAGTAAAGGATTGCAAGGACTGCCGGCAACCACCAGAAGTTAGAATGGGCAAAGAAGGACTCTTCCCTGGAGCCCTCAGGGAGAGGGGGGCCCCGCTGACACCCTGATTTCAGACTTCCAGCCTCCAGAACTGTGCCAAAAGACATTCCTCTTGTTTTAAACCACCCAGTTTTCAGTACTTTGTTATGGCAACCCTAGGAAACTAATATAGGAGATTTTGATTATTATTTGAAAACATCAAGTCATGCTCTAACAGAATGTGGACCTTTCCTAGTCAGGAAGTATGGACATTTTAACAAGAGAGTGGTTGAAACAGTGACTTTGTTGACTCTACCATCTTGTGTGAAAATGCTAACAGTATCTTCACTAGTCACACTGTCTCCAGTCTCGGCTCAACTAATCTAGTCACATTGCAGCCGGAGTGAGCTTTCTAGAATCTAATCATATCACCCACCTGCTTAAAACCTTCAGTGGTCCCCCCCCACTCCCCCATTGCTCCCACAGTAATACCCACACTTTCAAGTGGTTTCTCTCCCCACTTACCTCTCACCATTTCCCACCTCACACTGCTCTTCACTCTCTGCCTGGAACGTACTTCTTCCCTTTGGCCTCATTGCTTGGCCAACTCCTATTTATCCCTATGTAGATGCCCTTTTCTGCTTACTTGTCCTCCCGTAGTCTGCCACAATTTCCCTGGCACAGCTCTGATGTCCATCTTATTGTACCTGCCTGTGTTCTTTCCTGTATCACCCTATGGCCTTGCTACTCAAAGTCATGTCATAGACCAAAAACATTAGCTTTACCAGAGTTTGTTTAAGAAGCAGAATTGCAAGACCAGCCAGCTCTCAGCATCAGATGTGCATTTTAACAGGGTGGCCTTGTGCACATTGAATTTGTGAGGTACTGATCTCTTCAATGCAGCTTCTATGGGAGAGGGAACACTTGTCTCCCGAGAGCCTACCCCAATGTCTGTCTTAAATAAAGAGAGATTTAACTGATCAATGTATGAGGCTGATATCATGTTAACACCCATGCTCTACAGGGAAAAACAACACAACAAAAAGTTCTCTTTTATCAGAATAAACAGACTCAGGTTTACAGCCAATCTTCACAGGCTTCCTTAAAATCCCCCCCTTATTCATCTCTCGTATCTTCTTCCTGTCAAATCCCATTTCTGCAGGAAATATATGACTATTCTATTACTAATCGAGTCTGCTATTTTGTTTTTCAGTATATATATTTTTTAATACTGAAAAGGACAACACAGGCATGGCTGGATTTGTACTGTCATTTTTTAAAACATTTTTTGTATATATATTTTTTAATATATTTTATTGATTTTTTTACAGAGAGGAAGGGAGAGGGATAGAGAGTTAGAATCGATGAGAGAGAAACGTCGATCAGCTGCCTCCTGCACACCTCCTACTGGGGATGTGCCCGCAACCAAGGTACATGCCCTTGACCGGAATCGAACCTGGGACCTTTCAGTACACAGGCCGACGCTCTATCCACTGAGCCAAACCGGTTAGGGCTGTACTGTCATTTTTTAATTTGGTCCATGAAGACTGCTATCTGGTAGTAGTTAAAAAATTGCCATCCTCACCAGTCCGTGTGTGTGTGTGTGTGTGTGTGTGTGTGTGTGTGATTTAAATATTTATTGATTTCAGGGAGGAAGGAAGAGGAAGGGAGAGAGAGATAGAAACATCAATGATGAGAGAGAATCATTGATCGGCTGCCGCCCGCAACCCAGGAAAGTGCCCTTGACTGGAATCGAACCCAGGAACCTTCAGTCCGAAGGGCAACGCTCTATCCACTGAGCAAACCAGCTAGGGCTATGTGTGTTTTTTAAACAGATAAGAGGGGATTCCAGAAAAGTAGACAGTTAAGAAAGCCCTTCACACTCAGCTTCGAATTTCCTTAGTAGAATGTGAGATCTGAAAGAGTTTGCAAACTGTCTCAGATCCAACACCGTAAAAAGTCCTCCATAAACAGCTGATTCTGACCAATCTCTGAAGCCCACCCCCCACTTGCTCCTCTTTTTTCTCTCCAACAAGTTGAATTTGCAATTCTCTAAAAGGCACAAAGTTGCCTGAGGTTTGTATGGGTCACGTGACCAACAGCCTTTTATCATGATAATAGTGGAGGACAGGATTGACACACCCTTTGTACATAAACTGGACATAATTTGTTTTTGTTGTTGCAGTTGAATGTATTCCCTGCCTTTCAGCGTGCGCGATTTGATCAGAAGTTGACTAATTTATCCAAGCAGGAAGTTAATGGTGTGCCTTGAGTATTAAGTTAGTGCAAAGGAGCCTTTCCAAGGGGAGCCCCAGTGGTGGGATACCTGGTTCCAGGTCAGAGGTTTGGAGGCAGCCCCTCCACCCTGCTTCCTACATCGCGTGCTGAAAACTCCCCGAATTCTCTTACCACACGCCAAACTAAGTTATTTAAACGTAAGAGTAGTTCTGTCCCATGCTGACAGCGTGGTCTACACCTCTGCAGAACCAAGGCAACATAAATACTTGCAGATTTGTGTTGATTGAATGACTTGAGGTAAATAAACAACCCTGCTGCCTACTGGGGCCAGATAAAGTAAATGAGAAAACAAACAGCAGGAGTGCGGCCGAGGGGAGCTCCCGCCCCAGGTCTCCCTCGGGAAGAGGCGGCCGCCGCTCCTCGTCTGCTCTGCACGTTTGGGAAACGGATCCCGGGTTGTGAGAACTTCGGATTTTCCACAGGACGCCAGAAACCCCAGCCTTCACTACAATGTCTCAATCTGAAATGTGGGCAACCCAATTCAAATGTTCAAAAGACATTTTGCAGACCAATCTTGGGAACCAAACCTAATACTTCTAGGAAGCCACGCAGCTCTACGCAGCGTTCAATAGCGCGGACAATATGAGAACGCACTTCCTGAGAAACTGATTCCCGGGAAGCCTGCAGTGGGCAAGGGCCCACGGGGCCCGCCGCGCTCAGACCCTGCGCTGCATTCGGCCCCGGTGAACCTCGTCTCGATTAACCTCGGTGCCGCGCCTGTGAAGTGGTCACGATGGTTAAGCACCGCAGCTGCAGGGCTGACTGGGGGACAGGAGAAAACGCCCGCCTAAACCCTTGGCCTTAAGCGGCTCTCAGGGTAAGCAGACCGAGTGACGCCTTCTCTTTATAATAGTGAAATTAATTATTCCAGGGCCAGCCAAACCTCATGCAAATAACTTCATATTCCCAGATTCCTCACGTTTCCCTGCACAACAGCATTTGGATGTTTTCTATATGATGGGGTTATCATTGTTTTTTAATGTTACTAAGCATCCAGAACGAGCAATTGTGACCCATCCAGAGGGAATATGCTCAGCTTTTTAAATTACAGTCCTGACAACGGGGCGGAGAACGAATCCCCTCCTTCTCCCACCCAAATAACCACCACACACACACACACACACACACACACACACACACACACACACCCCTTCCAAATCAAAGCGGTGTTGGCTCCAGGGTTTCAATCTGTAGCGAACTGCCCAACAGTTTCAATCTTTCTTGAGCAGCCTGGCCTCTGGCCACATCCCTCCAGCTATCAAAGCTCTCTTCGTGCCACGTCCCTGAAACTCCCCACACTCTCCAAGTGTGACAACTTTCCTTCGCCAGCTCTGGCGGGGCTGTGTACAGAAGTCTCTAATTGCGCATTTATGATAAGGACGGAGTTCCCGGCCTCCCCGCCCTCGACTTTCCCGGCGGGAAAACCTTCCTCCTCGCCCGACTCCGGGACCCGGCGGCTCCTGCAGCTGCCTCAACCCTGGGCGCCCGCACAGCCTCGGTCCGAGCCCGGCGCCCCCAGCCCCGTTTGTTCAGGGAGTAATTTCGGGGTCTCGCGGGTCGGGGCCGCGCGGGTGGGAAACGTGTCCGGGCAGATCGCGCCAGGTGGAGCGGTGTTCCTCCCGGGCCCGGGCCGAAGGGCGGCCGGCGGGGCGGGGAGAGGGGCGGGGAGGGGGCGGGCCCGGCGTCTGGTTTCCCTACGTCACTGGGAAGTCCCCATAAGACGAAAGCGCGGGCCCTGGCCTTTCCCGGACCTGAGAGGTTCTCGGGCGCGCTCCTAGTCGGGTCTCCGGCCTGATCCCGCCTCCTCTGCCCGGTCCGGCCCGCCTGCCCCGCGCGCTGCTCGCCTCCCGCAGACTCCAGGTTCGGGGACTGGGTCCCCCCGGGTCGGCCGCGGAGTTATCGCCGACTGCCTGCGGAGATGCCCGGGAAGAAGGCGCGTAAGAACGCGCAGCCTAGCCCGACGCGGGCCCCGGCAGGTAGGGACCAGATGGGGCGGAGATCCTGGCCGGGGCGAGGGGGCCGGGACGGGGGTCGAGGTCTCTATCGGGACCGGGTTAGCCCGTCTACTCGGGGCCTCGGGGCCTGGTCTGGTCTGCGCCCTTGCACGTGCTTTCGGGGCGCCTCGTGGAAGTCCTTCGGGGTTTTATCCAGGACCGTGGAGACGGCCAGGGACCCAGGTTTGGGATCGGGAGGCAGCGGTATTTCAGCGGGTGCAGAAAGCCTCTTCGCCCGCCTGGCACCCGCACTTGCTCTGCCCCGGCCTCGGGGAAGAAAAGTGCAGATGCGGGTGCCAGCCACCAGGAGAAAGTCATTGTCACGGCAGGTGGGGACGGGGGACGCTCTTGGCACTACCTGGCCTCCCAGCGACTCCTAAGACGGGCCTCTTTCTCCGGGGTCCTGGACCTGGAGGGCCCCGCGCTAGGCGTTATCACACTCGCCACCCGCCACGCAAACAAAAGCAGAGGTCATGCTGGTCCGATCACAGCTCTTCCGCAAAGGTCTCACGGAGGGTCGTGGAGGTTTCGCAGGGACCACTGCGTTCAGGAGCCCAGAAATTCTTGCTTCTTTGTCGAGAGTTACATTGTATAACCTTTTAACAATCCTAATTAGTTGCGGGAAGGAGGAGAACCGTAGTTGGTCCCCAATCCATCCATCCCTCGCCCTACTCCCCAAATTGGCCATCAAATAACTTTTCAGATCCACCCCCCCCCCTCCTTTTATAAATCTTATCAAACGAGGCTAAGGGGCAGTATCAAGGAAGGCAGCAAGGCTTTGAGCCAGAAAATCCGGGTGGGTCATACTGCTATTACATCAGCAGGTAATAGCCCCCCACCCCCCAGTTTTCAACATACTTTCATTTTATGGAGCCCATGCGCCGGCATGCAGAGGAAGTGGTGTATCGGCGATGTAGCCATGGCTAGGTTGTCGTCAGGCTGCTCTCCCTGGCTCTTGCTTGGGAAGGAAAAATCTTTCTGCCTTTTGTGATGTCCAGTAGTTTTGACCGAGCTTTGAAAAGGCGCCTCCTGGAAGTGCTTCAGGGGTTTTACCCAGGACCAGGGAGCCGGCGGCGAGGGAGGGATCTAGTGCATAACCTTCACCCATCCAACAAGGGGCTGGAGAAAGGTCCCACGGAAACTTGTTTAGATAGTAATACTTTAAAAAATAATCGAGACATGTGACATATAACATGGTATTTTAGTTGTACCACACAGTGGTTTGGTACATGTATATGTTGTGAAATAATTACTACAATAAGTTTGGTTAACCTCCATGATTACAATTTTTAAAATTAATAGCTTTATAGATGTGTAACTACAACAGAGACGAAGTTTTTATCCCTTTTGAGCCTAACTAACTAGGGTCTTTGCAGGGTCTACTTACCAAGTAAACCAGATTGTAATTTGTAGTCATGGTTTTTAGTGTTCATAATCATGATCTTAAAGTAGACAAATGACCCTGAATTGCTCTGACTTTCCAAGAAAATTGAAATTATGGTCAATATAGATTTGATGTCAATGTCACTTAAAATTTATTTGGAAATTATATGATAAATATTATGTTTCTTAAATTAATATTCAGTTAATTACAGTATCTCTATTCTGAAAAGTAGTAAACATGTGAATTATATTCCACTTCACTCATCTCCCTAAAGGCAATGGATGGGTAGAGGTTGGGTTTGTTGGAAGAATTTGGCTTAGAGCTAACATTTAAACTTCTAAATTATTTTAGAAAATGTGGACTTACTTTTGGAAAACAAGTGTATGAATCTTCTATGAGAAAATTTCAGAGTTTTCTAAATGAAGAAAAGAATGCATTTTAGATTTGCCTATTAATGAGGGCATAATCTTAGCTATGAATTATTGCCACAAAATATACGTCCTACTTGAAAACAAAAGAAGAGTTTAAAATTTGACTTCCATTCCTCCCACCAACCTTAAGTGAGAGAAAAAGCAATGACATCATCTGAGGCCGGCAACATCTCACTGTGGTGTCTGACATATTAAATGTTTGTATTTGCTAATAAGATAATATTTGCCTCATCCAGGATATTTTAAAAGAAGATTTCAAAGTAAATGTCTTCGTTCAACTTTTCTTTTTTCTTTTCTTTTTTTTTTTCTTGTTTGAGTCACAGTGTGTTTGTACATGTTGTGTGTCTATATGTGTTCCATCTCACATACAGAAAACAGGTGTACAGAAAACTAACAGTAAGAGGAATGTTTCATGGGAAACCTACTCAACTTGTCATTCTTGCTGGTTGTAGTTTGGAATGTTGTCAATTTAATTTTGATGTTCTGCATTCTTTTTCAGAGGCTGAAATTGAGTGTGCCCTTCAATTAAGGAGAATTGGAGACAAGCTGAGTTTCCTGCAGAAACTTCTGAATCTGATGTACAAACTCTTTGGCTCAGGAACCTGACTGCTTCAGAAGCCTTCTAATGAGGCGACTCCTATAAAGCTGGATTTACCATATTTCATCCATTAGTGGTGAGAGACTGCATTATAATGGAGAAGAATGTGAAGAAGCTCTCACTTGCTTTGGGATGTGCTTGGAAATGAAGATGGAATACATCACAATGAAATTCTGTTGGAGTTTTCCCAGAAGTCATTTGTTTATTTTAAAGCAAGAATTGAAGAGCTTTGAAAATATGGAATGAATTATTAAACTTCTTTGTTTCTGCTTAGAGAATTTTTCTAGTATTTTTTTGAAGGTTGATGCCCAGCCTAGTGTAAGAAGAGTTGATAAATAACTAGAATGTTTTGGCAGGGGCCAAAAGCAGAATATGTTCAGTGTTTATTTCTACTTAGGGATGACAATTCCAGAACAATGTATAGTATTTGTTTTATATATGTTATCTTGTTAAAAGTAAATATTTCATTCTGAAAACACTGAATGTTATAGTGAATGTTGATTTCATAGGTCACTACAAAATATAAAATAATTTGATAATTTTTTTTTTACTTAAAATGTATTACTTCTGTTCAGATGACTTTTCATTAAATGTGTTCCTGTGGGCCTTAACTGGGCAGTATGGAATTTGAAAAAATTTGATCAAATTTGGTGCCAGTAAAATTCCTAGGTTGAATGTTAAAAAATGAAGAGCATAGGGATTTTGGATAACCAGGGATAATAGAAAAAAAAGTGAATTTTACTTTTTATTGCTGAATTAAAACTTGGTAAAACAAATATTCTAAAGTAACTGTTTATAAGAAAATGAATGTTTCTAAAGAAATTTCTAAAATCTGTAAAATGCCCTTTTCTACACTAATCACTGTGAATTCTATAAGAAGTGATTTTTACAAGAAGTTAAACATGTTTTCATTATTAGGATATACTTTTTAAGTTATTTTTAAATAACAGTTTACATTCAATATTATTTTGTATTAGTTTCAGGTATAAGGGATATACTTTTTTTATAAAGAGGAATAGATTGCTCATTCAGAATGAAAATTCTATGTATAAATATGGGATTTTAAGGGATTTTCACTCTGGGTGAAATATATATATATATATATATATATATATATATATATATATATATATAAAATTAATTTTCATTAAAGTAACATGTAGATTCTGAGAAAGCTTTCATGCATTTCATTTTTTTAAAACAGACCAGTCTATGAACAATTTCCAAATATATATAAAAACATCATGATTGAATTTCATCAAGAATAATATTTATTTTACCTATTTATAATTAAAATATTTTTTGTTTAGTTTAACAATTTGTGTTAGTTGAAGTTACAGTTTTAGGTTATGAAACAAGGGTTTTATTGTTTGTGGGTTTTTTTGTTTGTTTTTTACAAGGGTTTGATAACTACTTGAACTCCTACAGTAAGAATGTTTTAAAATAGGCCAGCGATTTTCAACCTTTTCCATCTCATTGCACATATAAACTAATTACTAAAGTTCTGTGGCACACAAAAAAATAAATATTTTGCTGATCTGACAAAAAAAATAGGTATAATTTTGATTCATTCACATCTGACAGCTATTGTTGTGTTGGCTGTTGTCATTTTTTTATTTGACAATCTAAGGGAAAAGAGGTCAGTGCCCCTGACTAAATAGTCAGGTATTGCAGGTTTTAAAAATTGTTGCAGCACACCGGTTGAAAATCGCTGATATATAGGCAATAGTCACTTTGATTTAAAAAAAAAAATACCTCAGTATCTACTTATCTTCAGTATTACATCTGTTTGTTTATTTAGTTGCAGAGATATTTCGTGTGTATCTGCCTAGCGGCAGGTCTATTTTGCCATGTGGATATTTATGGTCTGTAACTATATTTATACATGTATATATACCTATACTAGTAAAAGTGGATACTGTAGCTGTAAACCATTAAAAATTAATATCATTCTTTTCTGTGTTTATTTTTTTATCATGTAAACTGCTATGTGTTCATTGCATAACCCAAATATTGTATTTCAACTAATTTTATTTTTTTAAAAATATATTTTTATTGATTTCAGAGAGGAAGGGAGAGGGAGAGAGACAAACATGGACACTGAGAAAGATATCCTGCATACCCCCTACTGGAGATCCAGCCCACAACCTGGGCATGTGTCTGCCTGACCATGACCTCCCCCAACCATGACTTGTTCATAGGTCGACACTCAAACACTGAGCCACATTGGCTGGACTGTATTTTAACAAATTTTCATCAGCAGGCACCTTCTGATGGAACCATCCCCTTGGGTCCAATTCTGTGATAGGAATAGAGAAGACAGGGGCACATGGCATGATTTTTGCTGTCCAGACACTTACACTTTAATTGGGATAGAAAATAGTGAAAAATAGGAAATTAATGCCAAGTCTGGAGTGCCTGACATTAATGCCCATATAGTAGCCTACCGACAGAAATTCAGGATTTATTCAGAAGTATGGTGAGCCTGCCAGGTAAGAGGAACTTCTGTATGGTTTACTTTTAAGTGACATCCAATCTTTCAGTCCCTGCCCCCAGCAGTTAAGTATTGCTTCATTAGAAGCCAGTCATGTGCAGAAGTAGGTGTAACTGAGTGGAGAATTGAAAGGATATCCCCCGTTTGTAGCTTTGATCTAGGAGCCACATCTTCTCCCTGCCCCCACTCCCGCCCTCAAAAGTCTGCTGAAATCAAGGAAAGCAAACTGTCTCCCTTAGATGCGGAGGGAGGGAGAGAACCAGCTGCAGGGGGAAAGTGACAAGGCGAGGGGGCAGCTAGAGAATGGGATGAAGGGCTGCGGAGAAGGTGACACAAACCACCGGCTCCCCCAGAGGAAGGACTTTGTAATGCAGGAGCGGAGGAGACTGGCCTCCTAAAAGGTGGGGTCAATCTGCATCTGATTTTGAAAGTCAGGGGAAGAGGAACTCCTGTCCCTGGAACCGTTGGTACTAATTTGCTAAAAGGACCTTTGTTATTGTTGTAAGGAGTAACACAGCAGGGCTTAGATGTAATTCATAGGCTTTAGGTATGAGAACTAATAATTTGATAACTGTATTTTTTAAAAAATAAGATAGTGTGAGTCTTTTTCTTTTTAAATATTTTTTTTAAATTGATTTCAGAGAGGAAAGGAGAGGGAGAGATAGAAACATCAATGATGAGAGAATCATTGATTGGCTGCCTCCTGCACGCCCCCTACTGGAGATTGAGCCTGAAACTCAGGCATGTGCCTTTGACAGGAATCGAACCCAGGACCCTGCAGTCCGAAGGGCCGAAGCTCTATCCACTGAGGCAAACCGGTTAGGGTGATAACTTTATTTTAATGTCAAATAATTTCTAAGATATCCACATAACTGTAATTGCATCCGATGACTGACAAAAAGTTTAGGAATTAAAAAATACTTTGACTTGCATTTATACTTAAAGAAAATCCCAATAGTCACTATATTTGAAAAAAGTTATCTCCTATCTATCTATCTATCTATCTATCTATCTATCTATCCACCTATATATCTATGAACGAATAAGTTCTTTGGTCTAAACATACCTTACAGTGACTTGGGTTTTTTAATGTCTTGCAATAATTCTGGCCCTCTCGCTCCCCAACAGCATAAACTGTCAAACTCCTCAAACCTTTGTCAGAGGGAATGACCCACTAGGAAGATAACTGACACTCTGAACAGTGAATGTTGACTGGGAGGGCTGAGGTACACACAAGCACCCACTTCGGACTTTCAAGGCAACATCACTTGTGAGCCGAGTGACCCTGAACAAGGCAGCCTGTCTGAGCCAGTTATTCCTCTGAAGTCAGGATGACCAGATAAGTTTACTTGTTTGCAAGAGAAAGTGGGATGTCAAAGGGGTGTGAAGAAGGTCCCCCCCACCACACCCCAGTCCCACTAGTCCTGCTCCTGACTTCATTTCAGACAGCATAGGAGAGAACTGGAGTGTTTGCAAAAAATAAAAAAAAAATAGGGGAGTGCATGTAAAAAGCCCCCCCACCCCCCAACATCTATTTTCTAAATTCTTCTCCCAAACATTGATTCTAAGTCCTGGAGCAGATTGGGTGGGAACTTTGTGGTCACGTGTTTTCTTAGAAATGAGAATTGTACATGCACACTGGTTTTCCTTCTGCCAGGCCACTCTCTCAGGGTTGCTGCTTCTATATATGTAGCTGAAAATAGAACTGGGTCACCTGACAGAACACACCCGATTGTGTAATCACTTGAGTGTCTTCATGTCATAATTGAAGAACAAACACTTTGCCAATACAATCCAGGCACTAATTTAGCTTTCACTTATGGATTTTCAGAAATCAGTTTAGCAAATTCAGAGTGAAACAGTCACACACCACCTACCGTCTTCTTCCAAAGTGGCAACTTTTTAAAACACCAGAAAAACGAGAGAATTGGCAAGAGTTACAAGTAGAGATTTAGGATTCCTTTATTTAGTAAGTCTGGGTGTCAGACCACCCTCTAGTAATTTGAAACTGCACAGGGCATGGAGCCTGGGCTTGGGTTTGGGTTGAAAGTCGAATGTGGTCAATATTTTCTGTGTTTTAGTAAAAGGCTTCTCTTCTTTTTGTTCTACTGCCTCACTGTGATCTCTAGTGGAGCTTATGAGATTTGTCTATTTCCACTTTCACAACTTTTCTCAAAACTGCAAAGTTCCTTTCCCCACAGTTGTCATTGGCTTTTGACTTTCAAATCAGCTCGTCACTTTTCCACTTGCTCTTGGAGGACTCCGGGTGAATTACTTGATCTCTAGTGTCTTATAAAGTGATGTCAAATATACTTATTTCAAACCATTCTCAAAGGAGGTGAGACTGTGCACGGTGTCTGGTGCTTAGTCATGCTCAGCAAATTCAGCTAACTTTTCCCTTCCAAGATATTGGCTTCCTGGCAAAGCTAGGGGAAGGCCTTGTCCAATTAAGATTATTAGATGAAAATGAAACCCTTTGAAGGAAGGCAGTTGGGCAGTGTTGGAGCTGAAGAGGAAGTAGCAGTTTTTCTCTTGATGAGGCCATCTGTTTTTAATCTGGAACCTCTTAATGACGGTAAAACATTTACTTTGGACCCATACATAATAGATTTCATGACTGCTATTGAATTGCCAGAAGACCCTTGCATATTCACATAAAAATCTGGGACTTGATTTACAGAATACCACCTCAAGAGATAGGAAGAAGATCCCGTCTTTTGGAGTTGGCTAGGTTTGGGTAAGGCTGGGAAGGCTCTCCCATGAGATGAAACTGAAAATTTGTTAATTTGGAGACCCAAGTTCAAATCCTGGCTGGTGTGTGTGTGTGTGTGTGTGTGTGTGTGTGTGTGTGTGTGTGTTTAGGTGCATAGGGCCACTTTAAGTCTGTATTCATGGGGACCAAAGTTCTGCAAGAAAAACACAACTTGTTGATGCATCCTATTTGCCAGGCATTTTAGAAACACAATTTTATCATTTCATCCAGT